CCTACCCCACCTTTAACCTTTTTTTAAGCGTTTTTGTGTCTAAGTGACTAATGGAGATGTACCTGTCCTTTCAAACAGCTTAAATTATTAGAGTATGCACTATTCAATTTAGTATCATCTGTAAATATAAATATATTTTGTAGGAACAGTTCAACATTTTGAGAAAATATACTTAATTGCCTTCTTGACGAAAGTAATAGGACAAGATTGAATCCACTCTTGTGTCAGTAGGCTAGATGTAAAGCTAGTAAGCGGCCAAACAACTTAGCGCTTTGGCTAAAAACAACTATTTGCCCTTTAAAGGGACTATGTGATGGATGTTTTGACGGGGCTCAGCGACTTCCTGGAATCTCTTCCTGTTAATTAGTAAGCCTTAGTTGTTGCTGATAGGAGGATCTCTTTCTTACCTTTGTACAGAGCCAGGTTAACCTCCCACCAGCTTCCAGTGCTTATGCTAAGCTAAGCTAAACTGCTCCTGGCAGTAGCTTTATATTTAGAGTACAGGTACCTCCAACCCTCAGCAAGAAGGTGAATAAAAATGTTTCCTAAAATGTTGAACTGTTGCTTTAATTCATACTAAATGTTGTGCTAATGCTATGCTAACTTTGTTCTGGACTAAATTATATTTAAATGTTCCCCAAATGATCCAAATCATCGCACCTTAGTTCAAGATTACACTGATTTAGAAACCAACACTACGTGCTCTCCAAAGATGAGTGGATGAGTGGTGAGGTGTTTGATAGACTTCTCACATCAAATCAAGTTTTATTTATATAGCACATTTATAAACGATTTTTGGTCGAGCCAAAGTACTTCTAATGAACCTGAGGCCAGGCCACTCTTTGTATTTTGCATCAGGTCAACCCAGTCTCACAGCATTTCGTGTTATAGTCACAAAATTAATTTCATCTATTGATTCGTGTTCACCAACACGATTTCTGCATTTTTTTCGTGTCACACAGAACGATTTTAAAAGCAATGTATTTCTATTGGTAGTATGTTTCGTGCCTGTACCACGTCTTTTTGTCCGGTCGGGTCTTGGAATACCAGAAGCTGTGTGGTTCATAAAAACATTTTCTTACTCAATATCTTACCCTAAGCCTAACCCTTTTATTTTAAATTGTATGATGTCAAAGTTTTCTTGCCGTCCTCGAGGAAAATCGTGTTGGTGAACAAGAATCAATAGATGAATTTCGTGACTATAACACAAAATGCCATGAGACTGTGTTGATCAGGTGTAGGGAGATGCTGCCAGGGCTGTAAACTGTACTGTCTTTCCTCTACAACACTGAGTGACTCTTCTTATCTGAGCCCTCAGGCATGTGGCCAAGTTTCCACCTCGCTCAGACTGTTTGTGTCCTGCCATGACCGTTTCGTTCCTGAGGTCAGCAGGTTACAGCAGCAGTCAACAGGCTGCACAGCAGCAGCAGTCAACAGGCTGCACAGCACCAATCACTGAGTGCAGGTTCAATAGTTAATCAGTATCAGTCTGGTATGTACCAAAACTGTGAAGGGCTTGGCTAAGTGGTCTCACCCTAAATATTCTGTAGGCCAACGCTGACAATAGCATTTTAATGTTCCACAATGGACTATTCAGTTATTCTAAGCCAGGCTAGTGGCGTTGTAAGATGGTCTGTTCAGAAGTTGGTTGTTTAGTTCACCACTTTGGAGATATATTCTCTATAACTTAATGACTTTGATGACTTTTCCATTGCTGTAGTCAGGTGAAAATTCTGATTAGTCCAATAGTTTTGTTAGCCTCAGCTGCAGTTTGCTAGCAAATATTAGCATGTGATCATGCTGATCTATGATGCTAAACATGTTTAAGGCACCATTATCCCAAATGAAGCTACCGTCAGAGCTGCTATTATGGCTGTAGACTGTATTGTTAAAAAAAAGAGTTACTTAAAGGATAACTTAAAGGGTAACTTTAAGGGCTGGACAATATTTTCTTATGCTGTTGTGTTTAAATGTCTTATGAGTACATGTAAAGAGTGAGAATGCTGCTTCCATTAGTTACAAAATGGGCTGTAAAGTTATAATATTAGGCAATCGCACAATGGTGAACATTTGAATTTGACTAATACTTTTGTTTATGACTAAATACCTTCATACATAAAGACATATCCATTAGGCACAGTTGCAGTTTGGGTTAGGTAACAACTAACAAATGTTAGCATTTGATTATGCTGAACTATGGTAGTGACCCTGTTTAACATAAACTGCTCTCCATCAGCATGTTATGATTGTCAATGCAGCAATTTAACATGCTAACGTTAGCATTTAGCTCAGAGCACAGCTGTGCCAAAGTAGGCTAATGTCTCTGAGGGCTGCTTGCAAGGTTGAAATCTTTAATATGTTTTAGCATGCTCACAGACACAGACAAATTGTGATATTAATCATTTAGGCTGCCAAAAGATTCAGAACAATAATAATATCAGTCCTAAAAAAGTTCACATTCACAAGGCTGCTTTCTTTTAGCTAGGTTTCAGTTTATAAGTACGTAATGTTGGAGATTTGGAGGATGTTTAAAACCAACCTCGTCTCCGCGTGTCGTTTGATAAGCTGGGTAAATTCGTACAAAGGAAGGGATTAAGAAACACCAGAATACAAATTAAACAATAATCTGCTTTAATGGTAAAACATACAAATACATCACCCAATCTCCTAATCACGAAGCACTCTGCAGAGTACTCCGGGCTCAGGTTCTACCACGTGTGAGACAGGTCTCAGGAACGGCCGGTCAAAAACAAGAGCGCCAACCAAAGGAAAACACAGGCTTTCATACTAAAACACAGGAGGAGGTGTGTGCGTGCTTTCCCCCAGAGGTCATCTTATTGGGAGAGACCAACACATGGCCTGTTCGCCCCCAATCAGTGTGATCCAGCAGAAGAAACCCGGAAACCAAAAGTCTCTTTTAGTTTGACGAAAACCAGACACCTCTTGGTGTCCGGTACGAACCTGATCTTATTTCAAATCTTGCAGCCAGCACACACATCCCCTTTTATGGCCCTTTGTCCCTGAGTCCATCTTCCCCCCTCAGGCTACCACACACAAGTTAAAAGTATGTTTTAAGATATAGTTGTTATAGTTGGCTAACTATACGTAATACAGGTAAATCACTTTCCTATCAATAATAACGAAGAACACATTACCTATGCTCTTAAACAGTATTAGAGATGCTTTTCAAATAGTCAAACTTCACACAGGCCTAATATAGAGAACACACTCATTTGTCCTACAGCCCTTCCATTTGCTTGAGCTATTGTTCACATCTTTACTTCAAATAAAAGGTTTCACATTGTATATTTCCAGCTTCCTTATAC